CAAGCAGCTGAATATGAGCCAGCAGTGTGCCCAGGTGGCCAAGAAAGCCAATGGCATCCTGGCCTGTATTAGAAACAGTGTGACCAGCAGAAGTAGAGAGGTGATTGTCCCCCTGTACTCAGCACTGGTGAGGCCACACCTGGAGTGTTGTGTCCAGTTTTGGGCACCTCAGTTCAATAAAGATTTCGAGGTGCTGGAGCGAGTACAGAGGAGGGCAATGAAGCTGGTGAAGGGCCTAGAGAATCAATCTTATGAAGAATGCTTGGAGGAGCTGGGAATGTTTAGTTTGAGGAAGAAGAAGCTGAGGGGAGACCTCATCAGTCTCTACAACTATCTGAAAGGTCATTGTAGAGGGGTTGGTGCTGGTCTCTTCTCACAGGTAATTAGTGACAGAACAAGAGGGAATGGCTTCAAGCTGCAACAGGGGAGGTTTGGACTTGACATTAGGAAATATTTTTCACAGAAGGAGTGATCAGATACTGGAATAGGCTGCTCAGGGAGGTGGTTGAGTCCCCATCCCTGGGTGTGTTTAAGGGTTGTTTGGATGTGGTGTTGGTGGATGTGGTTTAGGGGAGAACTTTGTGGAGTAGGGATGATGGTTGGACTCGGTGATCCCAAGGGTCTTTTCCAACCTGAATTGTTCTATGATTCTATCATGTGACTGGTGCTACATGGAGTAAGTGGGTGGCACTGATAAGCAACAGGCTCAAATAGGAAACCCTGACCACCCAGGAATCCTGGAAGTGATCATGGACTGGCCACAGGACCGAAATTTCACTGTCACCAGAGGAGGTGGCTCATGCTGAAGAGGCCCCATGGTATAATACATTACCTGACAAGGATAAACAATATTTACTGTTTTCTGATGGGTTCTGCTGTGTTGTAGGAAAGCATGGGAGGTGGAAGGGAAAGTCTTACATGACAAGTTGCAGAACCTGCTGAAGGCATTTTGCAGAGGTGAAAACCATCCAGCTGGCTTTACATACTGCTGAACGAGAAAAATGCCCAGTACTTTAGCTCTATACTGACTCATGGATGGTGGCAAATGCTCTGTGTAAGTGGCTACAGCAATGGAAGCAGAACACTGGCAGCACAGAGGTAAACCCACCTGGGCTGCTGTGTTATGACAAGACATGATGGCTCGGGTAAAGAACCTGGTTGCAAAAGAATGTCACATAGATGCTCACGTACCTAAGAGTGGTGTCACTGAAGAACATCAAAACAGTGAGCAGGTGGACCAGGCTGCTAGAATTGAAGTGGGTCAGGTGGATCTGGGCTGGGAACATAAGGGTGAGCTGTTTATAGCTCTGTGGGCCCAGACACACCAGGACAGTTAGGAAGGGGTGCAGCATACAGATGGGCTCGTGATCAAGGGGTGGACATGTCAAATGTGTACTGTAACCAAACAAGATAAGCAGCTAAAACCTTTTTGGCGTAGAAGGCAATGGCTGAAGTCTCAACATGGGGAAGCCTGACAGATTGATTATATCACAGTACCATAAGCCAGCCATGGCAAGCACCATGTGCTTACAATGGTGGAAGCAACTATTGGATGGCTGGAAACATACTCTGTGACCCATGCCACTGCCTGGAATGCTATCTTGGGCCTTGAAAAGCAAGTGTTATGGTGATACAGCACCCCTGAAAGTATTGAATCAAACAACAGAACTAATCTCTGAAGCAACCTCAGAAACACCTTGGCCAAGGAGCATGGCATTGACTGGGTGTATCACATCCCCTAGCATGCACTAGACACCAGGAGAAAATGCAATGCACTGTTAAAAACTATCCTGAGGGTGCTGGGACATTTAAGTATTGGGATGAACATTAGCAGAAGCCAATGGCTTAGTTAGCACTAGAAGATCTGCCAGTCAACCTGCTCCTACCCAATGAAAACCCCTGGGCACTGTGGAAGGAGATAAGATCCCTGTAATTCATATAAAAAGAACTTGGGAAAAAACAATCTAGGTTATTCCTTCCTGAGGAGAGGGGAAACCTATTTGTGGGATTGTTTTTGCTGAAGGACCTGGGTGCACGACAGTTACCTGGGCTGCAGAGGAGGCCAGCACACCAAAGCGTGGCCAGAAACGTAGGGTACGCGTGTCCACAGTTCTGGCTAGAAAGGAATTTATCAGAGAGAAATCAGAACATGGGGAAATAGGAAAAAAAATCAACATGTTTCATCAGCAAAGGATGGTGGAATGTGAATTTGGGCTGCACTAATGCTGCTGTGGGTGAGCATTTACTCCAGAGCAGTGGGAGGGCCCTGACCTGGCAGGGGCTGGCTGGCATGTCTGTGCTGCCTTACTCACAGGTCTGCTTCCCTGTTTCCTCACCTGGATAATGGTTGCCTTTGTCCTACCTGATGAGCATAACAAACCACCCAGTGCACATGCCTGGCACTTCTGAAATCCACTTTCCTCCTCTAACCTGTTTGATCATGGCATGTATATAATAGATACTGTGTGCTTTGTTAGATAGGAAAATACCAGTAATTAAGTCATATTAATCAAGCTATCGGCAGTGAAACTACATGAAACCCACAAAAGGAGAATCACACTGCAAATAAGAGTGTCTCACAAGCGTTACCATGTATCTTTGCAGGGGAACAGGAATGATTTCCAGCTGCATCCTTCAGGTGGGAATGCTTTCTGAGGGGGAAGCACTCTGCCCTTGGCAGAGGTTGCACACCTGTGAAGGACAGCACTTGGACATTCCACCCAGTGGATCATCAGTACTTCACGGGTAATAAAACATATTTTATGTGTTTTTCTTTTCTGGGTTAGAATTAATTTTCCCCTCTGCTCTCTCTGCAGGGTTGTCAAAGGCAAGAGGTACAGATGGGGCAGAGAAGCAGAGCTGTGTGCCAAGGGAGCTGCCAGGGATCAAGGGGTTTGTACAAGCTCTCCCACCAACCTGCTCCTCAGCAAGTCAGAGTCTCTCTGCAGGCTCTTTCCTTTTGAGCCACAGTGCCCTTGGGACACCAACTATGCTCATATCACTCTTCCAGCATTAGCTACTGCTGAGTGAACTGGTTCCCAAATGCAGGAACACAGTATTCATAAGGGCTGCAAGCCCAATACAAATACAGCACACGGTGTCCAGAAAGGAGCTGGGTTCACCAGCAAACATACTGGAGGACTATGGTTCTGAACACTGCCACAATGCACACAGCAAGGGATTGAGGACAATACTTTCATCTGAGGGCACTTGGAACCCACCTCTGGACCCAAAAGGGATCGGATTAAACCTTAATGAAGAGAGAAATTAACGCTGCTCTGCCCCCACCAGTTCCTCAGAGCTTGCCCACTCACTTGGCAATGTAGACTCGGTCGAAGGCGGAGGATCCCAGCCGCTGGAGCCCCTTGCCGTTGCAGTGTTTGCTTTCATGCTCCACTTTGCTAGCAAAAAAAGCTGTTAAAAAGACACAAAGTATTTGATCTCAGACGTAATTTGGAGATATTGCAGGAGCTGGGCTTTGTGGGCTCAACTCTGTTCTCATGAGCATCCAGGCTATACAGCAGGAAGGGACATGGGTGAGTGGAGGTGCAGGATGTGGCCAGTGTGCTTGCTCTGTCACCACAGTGTAACCAACCCTCTGTGCAAGGGCACAGTGTGATGCAACCTTGGACATCCCCGTGTGTTCATATGTGACTGGCACCAGCCTCTCACCTCAGAGCTCTGCTTCATCCCCATGCTGCACTTCTGGTAGCCCACATCTCTGCCTGCTGCAGAAGCACAGCCCAGACTTGGCCCTTATTGCTCCCAGTGGGAAAAAAGCTTTCTAGTCAGACCTGCGAAACCCAGTTCTCAGTCTCTAGTAGAGCAAAGAGACAAAGGAGGCTTTTCTCTTTTAGTGAAACCCGTTTGCCAAACCAGGGACATCCTGCAGGGCTGGTTCATTTTCCAGAAAGTGCAAATGAAGACCTGGCTGATCTCTGTGTGCCCATAGTGTGTAGCCTCCTTTTGAGAAACAGTTTTGTGTCAGGATGTTAGCTGCTGCAAAAATGCAGCACCTCAAGATAATGTATTACATACTTGACAAACACATTTTATCTGATGACACTAAACCAGAGACCATCAATCATGTATCTAATACACCCGACGGAGCCTTGATGGGCTACAAGCTGCAAGCTTTGTATTGTCATGCATCCCATCTCAGAGTACCCAAACTAATGTATGGTTTAGAATATTAGCCAAAGATATATATCAAAGATAACCCATCAGGAAAGATATTATTAGAACAATAGAAATATAACTTGATAAGCTGCAGGATTTCATCCCTGGAATCTGAAGACTGCTCTGGCTGGCTCCTAGAGGACCTGGCCCTGGAGGACCCAGAACAGGTACCAACCAGGGGCACAGGCTGAGAGCTCTAAGCATTTCCATCTGACCACCACCCCAGCCTTTGGCATGGGTTTATTAACCTGCCTACAGGGTCTAAGAGGATCTAGCTGAAGAGGACTAGGTTGAATGGCATTTTTTGTCCGGTGCAAAACTGCAACAATGGGCAGCCACTTCCTGCAGGTCTAGGATTGCATAGGCTCACTGGGATATGTATTATATGTTCTCCCTTCCTTTTAGCATGTGTGTGAAATCACTAGAAGATGCCACAGCTTCAGAGAAAGCCAAGAGGAAGATGTATGTATCTCCCTCTCTGCACCCCTTCATAGGTGCTGCCACTTCCCAAATGCCAACATGCTGCTGCAGAGAGGCTCCCTGATGCCAAGAGCCATCAGGCTGAGCACAGACATGTCCAATGTGACAGTGGTCATCAAGGACAAGAGCTTGGAAGTGACAGTCGTGGTGCACAGCCTCAGGGATCAGGGCTGGGCAGGCCTGAGAATTCTGGGTCTCCTGGGAAGGATCTGGCTGAAGAGCTCCAGGCTGTCTCTGATATGGTGTATGGATCCCTGGGCAAAGGACTGGTCAGTAGGGCAAAGGACAGAGATGGGGCTATCATGTACACCTGCACCGTGGGTAAGGAGCAGGCTTCATTATATCTAACTCGAGAAATATTGACGAGTGTTCAGGAGATGAATGTTTTCCTTCTGTAAACAGTGAGTGAAAGAGGAAAACAGAAGACAGGCACCTCAAGATGTCAATTCATCCCTCAGAGAGCTACTGGCATGAGAGAAAACAACCCATTAAAGCACTGATCTTTCTCCTTTGGCTCAAGAAAGAGCTTAGACAACCACCTCACATGAGGTGTCCAAAGCTTAGCTAGCAAAAATTCCTAGGTCAGTTACCTAAAATGTGCCACAATGGCTGTATTTCCTCAGGAACACATGGACCCCAAGGTAAGGGCAGTGAATTGAAGTGGAACCTGGCATCTCTCCATCATACAGAGAGGTAGAGACTCCTGCTTCAAGTGAGCCTTTCTCCCTGAATGTGGCTCCCCATGTTTGTGCCTCCTTAGCCCTGTCCACTTCACACACACAGCAGACTTACTACACCTTCCCAGAAGGGAGCCCAAGAGCCCAAGTTCTGGCTGCCTGAGGCTCGGCTGAGCTGGAGCTTGGCAAAGGACCAGAGCAGAGCTGACAGATCACATGCAGGGGTGGTTCTTGCTGCAGGTCTGTGCTCCCATCTCCTGCTAACCTGGCATCAGAGAAATGGGAGACTACAGAGAGAAGCAGCTTGCAACACCGTGCTCATATTTCATCTCTTCACTCTGAACTTCAAGGCAAGAGAATGGTTTCATAAGCCAGCATGAGATAAGTGATGTGCAGCAGGACTGGAGGTTGAATGGTTTAATTCAGCTCAGCTGCACCAGGAGATGGTGCCCTGAGGTTCCAGGGCTACACAGGCTGCCCCGAACCTGAACCATTGCAGTCCCAGTCTGCTCAAGTTAACATGTAAGAGTTCAGTCCGAGCCTGGTTGTTCCACGGGTTCGTGACAACAGAAACCACACACTGATGCTGCAACCCAGAGAGTGCTGGCAACCCTGCAGTTTGCCTCTTCTTGTCATTGACTTTGCTTCCTCCATCCTGATTTGCTCAGCAATGTCCACTGATTTTCCCTGAAAGCTGCTGGATTGCAACATCTCTTTGATGCAGGAACAGGACCAAAAGCTACATGTGTGACTCAGTAACATCCGGCTGTGTGAGTCGTTCTGTGGGATATGGAGATTCTCAACAGGAACAAGGTGACAGTAAGTGGAGGTCAGCACCACCTCCAGCTTCAGGAACAACAGCATTCACCCAAACTGTTTTCTAATCTTGCACAAGATGCAGAAGAGCATATAAGCCTAAATTTACATGGTACTGACTTCATGTACTTGAAGCCAGTCAGGTGCCTTGCTGGACCTGAGACATAGCAAGATTTCAGTAGAGCTGATATCCCTCGACAAGCATTTCTGTTGCCTTAATTACTGCATTCATTGCAGGACTGCATATAAGTCTGGTCTTTCTAGACAGAAAGCCTGGGAGGAGGAAATCAGATGATGCAAGGTCTGAAATCATGGCTTAGGGCTGTGTGCCGCTTGTGCTTGGCACACTGAGTCCCCTGCCAAGTGCCACACTTCCCACTTGCAGCAGTTGGGTCAATCATCTCACAGACAGATTTCCATGAGATGAAAGCGCTTGTCAGGCTGGAGGCAAATGCCCGAGTTTCAAAGTAAGAAGGAAAAAAACTGTATATAAAGTAATTTCATTAATAGCAAGAAATGTCTATTTGGCATGGTTTTTTAATAGCTGTATGTGCTCTGATCTGGATGTGCCCTATTCTGGTGATGTCACAGGCTGTGCATTTATCAGAAAACAGCACTGGGTTAAACGATGTGGCACTTAGTGCCTATGTTGAAACTCAACCAGCTTGCAGCTCTTTTTTTCCTCCCTGGCAGACAGGCTGATGCTGAGGCTCCCACCACTTCCCCTCTCTGCAGCAGCCCAAGAATAGCCCGTTTCCTAGCACTAAACACAGGGTTTGTGCTCAGTGAGAATCTCCCATTCAGACCAGGAAGGCTTCACAGAGGATTTCTAGTACTTGCACCAGCACCTCCATCCCTCTGCCAACTCTCCTTGGACCTGGGAGATCTCAGTGCAGCTGGGGCAAAACTCACTCCCTTCTCTGTATTCTGGGAAGAATTTCCTGCTAAAATTATTAAGTACATGTAAGAGATTATGATCAGATCTGTGCAAGAAACTTTTTGGTTTATTTAACAGATCCTGGAGAATAGTGGGGACTATAGAAGTCTGAGTAAGAGCTCTAACAGGAAAACTCCCTGTTGCAGGAAACATGCAGTGCTCTGGAACCACAGTTAATTGAGATTAGCTGGACTGAAGGACCTGTAGATGCAGGAGAGCAAGGGGAACTGCATGGCCACAGATAACCCAAACAGACTGCTCTGATGAGTCAGTGCAGCTTTGCCCCCTTCACTCAGCTCCATGCAAAGGTCTGGCCCATCGCAGACCCCAGGCCCGGCCCCTGCCCGGGGAGGCAGGGCTCTGGCTAGAGAGCAGCCATGGCTGTCCACATTAGGGACATTAGCCTGGAAAGGAGGTCTCAGCCATCAAATGAAATGCATATTGTCACAGGGTATCCCAACACATTAGTCCTTTCATTGGCTGACATGTATTACAAAATCACTCCAGAATATCACAGAGCAGGACCATGTGATTGCCAAGGCACTGCAGCAACAGCATGCAAAATTGTATGCTTAGAAGATAATTCCTAAAGTCATGTCTAAGTGCACACACACTTATAACCAGCGAGTATCTATCCAAAGATCAGATCAGCATACATCATCCTGAGCTTTTGCCAGTTCCCTTTTAGCCCTTAAATAAATGTTTATTTAAGTCTTACCATTCTGGACAACACTTATCAAGGTGACGATGGCGAGTAGGGCAATGCTTCCCAGGGTTTCCTGGTCCATTTTGTGAGGGGGCTGTCGTGTGGATGGTGCAGCCTCGGTGGCAGCTCAGCCGTGCAAGCACAGAAAAGAGGAAGTGAAGGACTTTCTTATCTTGAATCATAAAACACTTCCTACACAGGAGAGTGGCAGCACCCTGTGCTCGGGTGCTGTCAGAGCAACACAGCCCCAGGCTCACCCAAACATCATGTACAGATGAAGCCCAGGGAAACAAAAGACTGTATGTCTGGGATCTACCCAGATAATCAAACAACCTTTAGATATCAAGCATGTTGGAGCATTTGGCTAGTTGTGTGGGACAGCAGAAAGACTGAAAGAGATCAGCAAGCTATCATGCCACTGCTTACAAGTGCCTGGCCACCCCACAAGTAGCTTGGAGAAGAAGGAATGCTGGTGAGCCTCAGCAACACTGCGGCCCTGAGACATGTGCCCTCTCTGGTCACATCTCTATCAGCCTTGGCAGTGAGGAGACCCCAGGTCTCCAGGCCACAAGCAAAAGCTCCCATTCCATCTGGTATATTTGAGTGGGCAGTACACAAATGCTGTAAGCAGCATGGGTGGGCACAGAAATGTGTCTGTCATTACCAGGTATGGATCCTGCATCCATCCCCCTACAAATAACTCCCTGAAAGACAATGGCAGCTCAGCATTCAGCATTTTAGAGGCTCAGATTTCACAGTTAAATGCCAGTTTTAATAGTTGAAGCCCAACACAGCTGAACATAATTGCTGCACCACGTTCATGCCCTGGCTTCAACCTCATGATGGAGATGGCAGGGAGGGTAGGCCATGGTGTTGGACAGCTGCAGAAAGTCCCACAGCTTCTGTCAGAAACCATCCTCATCCAAAGTACACATCACTTGCCAACTGTAACCACTCTGCTCCCTTTTGCCCTTATTCTAATGGGGAAAAGCCTGAAGAAAAATTCTTACCTCTGAGTAGGAATTTAACACTTACAAAAATAAAATTTTCATTAGATAACTTTTGCCTCATCTGTCTGTCTGTCTGTCTGTCTGTACTCCACCACATGCTATCCCTAAGGTCCAAGTGCAGCCCAGCATCCAAACCATGGCCAGAAAACTCGTTACCTCTCTCTTGATGGGATTCAGCCTGGTAGGCAGGTGTAAAGCTCCAAAATCCATCTTGTTCAATGGGGACACATTTATCTACAATGGTGTTTTTATCTAGTCTCTCTATCATGCAAATTATTATCATTAGTACCACTAGATATGAAAAACTCTCTGGTACCTTGGATATAAGCAAATATATATATAAACACACAGGTTGAGAAGGAGGTGATTAACATTGTCAGTTGTGACCATCTGTTAACTTAATAGAAGAGGGCTGTCCAGGATACTTTCCTGGACACACAGACACAACTGTGTGAGCAGCAAGGCCACAAATAGTATCTAGGTTGAGATTTGCCCCTTTGTTAGGCCAAATGTTTTTATTAGGACTGAAGTTCTCTTTTCCCCCACAAAACGGCCTTTTCTTACTTGAGCATCAAAGTTTATGTTTTGTGGTCTACCCAGCACAGGATTATAGTTGGTATTTCAGGATGGTATTTAATGCTAAGCTTTAACTAATTTACTGAAAAGGAAAACTCATAACTTAAAATAAGTGTGGAATTAAGTCAAAAGAGGAATATTGTCCAAGCAGAGACCAGTGCTGTGACCAGGAAGAAAGGATTTGTGCGTGGACATGGGCAGGCAGGAGGAAGTTACTGATGGGAAAGGGCGAAGGAGACAACACAAGTTCTCAGGGCATCCACAGCAGAACGACTCCCACCCGCCTTCCCACAGCAGGCAGATTCTTCTCTTTCCTCTGTTCGTTTTACATGGGTGTAAACCTACCAGGCAGCTCAAGGCTTGTTTTTACTAGGGGCAGTAAAGGAAGATGAGCCTGCTCTGAGATCTCCTTCAACTTGCCACAGAAATGCACACCCTTCCCTACTTCTAAAGGCCTCCCAAAGGTGGCTTCAGTTTGGCAGGAGTCTCAAAGTGGGTAGGAATCAGGCTGCTAAGTTGCCATAATGCCAAAAAAACTACCTCAAAACCACCCCCACGTGCAGGCCAGGTTGCAAGGGCTGAGCTGCTGATGCCTTCGCTTTCTCCTCATCCTGCTCCTTGTCTTCCACCTCTTTCCTTTCCTGCCGCTCAGCACTCCTCTCCGCATCCTCAACCCTGCTTTGGTTTCCTGCTCTCTTCCTTCAGATTCCCACCTGTTCCCTGACCCCGCTTGGCATGGCAGGACCCCTGGTGGCACCAGCTCTTCCCTGGAAACCCAGCCCTTCACTTCCTCTTTCTGAGGCTTGCTCTAAGCTCGTCCCTCACGTATGTGTGGAGGAAAACAGGGCTTCACCCTCCTCCCTTCCAAAAAAAGCCAAACCACAACTCAGTGACATCATCTCCAGGGCTTGCTAAGTTGATTTCTTGGTGTGCAGGGAGAAACAAAACTTTGACAGTGAGGATCTGTTTGGTATGGCTGCTTTAAAATATGAACTGAAGGTTTTTCTGGGTTTTTTTAAGCACAACATCACTCTGAACGCTCTGCTTAAGGAAAAACAGAGGAAACCAGGAGTGTATGAAAGACACAAAAGAAGTCTCACCCCCTTAGAGCAGCAGAGCAACACTGTTGTAAATACAGTTGGACAGACTAGAAATCCCTTGCAGGGGGCAGGAGAGAAGGGGGAGTGATGGGGGTAAAATATTATCTTTTCATACCCCTTGGTGCTGGAATAGCTGCAGGATGGAAGGAGGTCCTGGCAATTTTTTAATTTTTTTTTTTTGCATATTGGGGAATTGTCTTGGCAAGGGAAGGCTAAGGTGGGGTCAAAATTACCCTGCAAACAGTTTCTGACACATCTACACATTAAACTGTTCCCTCTCCCTGAGACCTAGGCATCTGGGCAACTCTTGCCTCCTGGGATACATACAACATCACTGGCTGGGTCAGGCAAAGTTGGCACCACTGGAAAACCCTGTCCAGCTGAGAGAAAGGTGGGTGCAAGACACCTCCATCGTATCCCACTTGGCCATTTGAAATCAAGGGCTTTCTCAGATAGGAAAAACAACTAGAAGGGAGGGATGAACACCTTGGGGAACAGCACCCACACCCACTGCAACACACAGTGGTGGCTGGTGCTCCTCTGGCACAGGTAATTCTGCTCTTCAGCAGCTGCTGTCAGACCCCAGCCCTCCCACTGGCTGCATTGCCATTTGACATCCACATCTCCCTGTCTGAGGAAGATAACCTTGACACAGCGAGCCATGAAGCTCATGAAAATGTGCAAAGCCAGCCAGCTTTTCCAGTTGTGCTGCGAGGCTTCCCGCACATTAATCTCCTCCTCTGGAAATCTTGAACAAGTCAAAATAATCCACTCATACAATTGTTTTCATAGTGAAGAGGAAAGGACCGGGAACACAGATCTATAAATACCTTTGGGGATGTTCATCTCTCCTCTCATGCACTTTGCTCAGCACTTGGTTGCAAGGACTCCAATGGAAGTGTGGCTCCTAATAAAATAAAAGCTGCTTCTGTGAAGCTCCTCTGTAGAAAAGCAGGTGACACGCAGCCATCACGCTGTATCATAGAGGCAACAGGACACACAGAACACAGCCCCTTGGACTGGCTGGTTAACATTCACACTGTGCTTTGCAAACTTGAGGTGTCACCCCAAACATACAGTACAGAAGGACGGGGTGTGTGGCTGCCTGCTGTCACACCACTCTGCCTCAGCATTGTGTCCTTCCTAAAGCCTGACAAAACCCCAAGGGAGAGCATGAGCAGAGCTGGAAATGTGAAGTACAACGCAAAGAAAAAGGGCAACCCTGCAGGTTTTTTAGGTGCTGTCTTCGTTTTGTGTGGCCAAGGGAATGACACGGTGGGCGCAGGCAGAGAATTGCCTCACAAACCCCTCCTTCTCCACATTTCCCAAACTTCATCATTTTCATCACTGAAAACTCCATTTTGTCTGGATTCAGGTCAAAACTCATCCTTTGAAGACAGACCCTCTGGGCCTCTGGCGCAGCCTCCTCCTCACCCCCAGGTCTCACCCACCAATCTGCCCAATAACTTCTGCTTTATTGTACAAGCGCTTGGCCACTGACATCCCTGTGGCTGTGCTTTGTCCTCAGGTCCTCTTCTGCAGCACTCCTGCCTCTCCAGTGAGCAGCGTGTGCACCAGGGCTCGCCTTCCCCAGAGTGGTTGTTTGGGTTTATCTTTAATTACAAAACTCCAGTGGGCTGAGCCTGCAGCGTTGCTGCAAGGTCATGGCACTGCTCTGAATCTGATCCCCTCCACTGGGATGCTGGAAACCCACCTCTGACCTGGGCACATCTGCAGCTTGGGCATTTTGTCTGCCATTGGGAGACCAAGGAATTGAGCAGGGCTGCAGACAGCCTCTTCTGAGGCCTCTCAGAAAAGCTCCCCTGATTTCTCAGAAAACTATTGAGTAGTAGGGTTTGGGTGGTGTCCAACATGTGGCAGAGCCACCCTGTGGGGACTTCCTCTTGTCATCTCTCCCTCCCTTGTTCCCCAGGAAGCAGCTTCTTGGCAGCCATCGTGATACCATGTGGTGCCTGGTGGCCTCTGGAAGGCCCTGACAACCAACCACCCTGTCACGGGACGAAATTCACAGAAGGATTGAGGTTGGAAGTGACCTCTGAAAGTCATCTGGTCCAACCTCCACCTAGAGCCAGTTGCATATGACCATGTCTGGACAGCTTTTGAACTTATCCAAGGATGGAGATCCCACCACCTCTCTGGTCAGCTAGTGCTCTCACCGTGAAAAAGTGTTTCCTGTTGTTCCAGCTTGTGCCCATTGTCTCTGGTCCTGTCACTGGGCACCACTGACAGAGCCTGACCCCTTTGCACCCCCCCTCCAAGAGTTTACATACATGGATGAGATTCCCCTGAGCCTTTTCTTCTCTGGGTTGAACCGTCCCAGGTCTCTCAGCCTTTCCTCACAAGAGAGAGGTGGCAGCCCCTTCATCATCCTTGTGGTCCTTCACTGGACTCTCTCCAGTAAATCCATGTCTCTCTTGTGCTCAGAACCCCAGAACT